TGGGAAGAATGGGGGACGGACCACGGGGGAGGACAGCCATGAGGTGGGCGATGCGGAGGAGGAGGAGGAGGAGGAGGAGGAGGAGGAGGAGGAGGAGGAGGAGGGGTGGAGGAGGAGGAGGAGGAGGAGGAGGAGGAGGAGGAGGCGAAGGCGAAGGAGGAGGAGGAGGAGGAGGAGGAGGAGGAGGAGGAGGAGGAGGAGGAGGGGAGGAGGAGGAGCAGGAGGAGGAGAGGAGGAGGAGGAGCAGGAGGAGGAGGAGGAGGAGGAGGAGGAGGAGGAGGAGGAGGAGGAGGAGGAGGAGGAGGTGGGCGGAGGGTGGCAGAGGAAGGCAGAGGAATGTGGAGAAGGGGGAAGTGGGGAGTGTACCTAAGATGACCCCGTGACGCCCCACGACGGCCCCAAGAGACCCTCCAGACGGCCAAGAGGGTACCAAAAACGGCCCAAGAGCGCCCCGAGACCGCCCAAAAGAGGGCCCCGAGACCGCCCAGAAGGGCACAAAGGACGCCCCGAGACTGCCCCGCAGAAGCTCGAGGCAGCCCCAGCACCGCCACACCATTTTTGTGCTGTGGAACATCATAATTAAGACTAGGAGGCGAACGTCGGCGGCGAGCCTGGGGGGGAAGTGAGAAGGAGAAGGCCTGCTCAGAAGGCTTGAAGTCCCCCGGCCCTCTGAGGAATCCCACCAGCCCTTTGGGCGTGAGTGGTTTAGAGAGCCCGCTCTGTTCTCAACCCTCCTTCTTCCCCTTCGGGGAGGGGTTTACCCCTCCCCCTACCCCCTCCCCCTGGGCCTGGAGAGGGCGCCTCGCGGGTGGTCAGAGGGGTCTTTTTCGACGCCTGGGAGGGCTCAAAAACGACACCCCTCACGAGGATTCTGGCCCCGACGGGGCCCTCTTCTTTGAAGCCAAAACCATTGATTTTACTACGGTTTTGGCCCCATTTTGGCCTTCTGAGGGGGCAGCGCTACTTAAAGCTCCCCTCTTCTTCCAAGCCACAATCATTGATTTTACAACGGTTTTGGGCCCATGTTGCCCTTCTGAGGGGGCAGCGCTAATTGAAGCTCCCCTCTTCTTTGATCGATCTCCTCCAAGATGGCCCCAAGAAGCGCCCAGGAGGCACCAAGAGGCCCCAAGATGGCCCCAAGAGGCCCCCAGGAGGCCCCCAAGAGGCCTCCAAGAGGCCCCCAAGATGCCCCCAAGAGGCCCCCAAGAGGCCCCAAGAGGCTCCCCCGAGGCACCCAAGACGCTCCTGGAAGCCCCTGGGGCCGCCAAGAGGCCCCCAAGACGCCCCAAACGGCCTCCAAGAGGCTCCCAAGAGGCCCGAAGAGGCTCCCCCAAGGCACCCAAGACGCTCCTAGAAGCCCCTGGGGCCGCCAAGAGGCCCCCAAGACGCCCCAAAAGGGGACGAGGTGCCCGAACGCCTCACGCCACGAGGAGCCCGAACGACTCACACCAGGACGAGGGGCCCGAACGACTCACACCACGAAGAGCCCGAACGACTCACACCAGAAGGAGGGGCCCGAACGACTCACACCAGGACGAGGCGCCCGAACGACTCACACCACGAGGAGCCCGAACGACTCACACCACGACGAAGGCCCCGAACGACTCACACCACGAGGAGCCCGAACGAGTCACACCAGGAGGAGGGGCCCGAACGACTCACACCAGGACGAGGGGCCCGAACAACTCACACCACGAGAAGCCCGAACGACTCACACCAGGACGAAGAGCCCGAACGACTCACACCACGAAGAGCCCGAACGACTCACACCAGGAAGAAGGGCCCGAACGACTCACACCAGGACGAGAAACCCCAAACGACTCAAATCACGAGGAGCGCTTTCTCTCCCTCCTCCTCCGCCTCGTCCTTCTCCCGCTCCCCCCACAAGGAGGATGTACAAGGAGGCGGGAGGAAGGAGGAACAGGGGAGATATGCGGGGCCAAGCGGACACACGCCTGAAAAACACGACTGTCGGCATGCTTCGCAAGAGTTGCTGTTGTGAGATGGGCTGATGGGGATACGCGAAACGTAAAGAATTTTTGGAGCCTTCCCGGGAGGTGCAGAACGCCTCTCAGAAGGCGTGAGGGGGCTTCTGAGAAGCCCCGCCACCTTCTGAGGAGGCCTCCTCCTTCTCATTCCCTAGAAGAAGAAAAAACGCCATAAACATAAACTTTTGGCGCTCCGCGCGGATTTCCTGGATCTGCGCGCTGGAGCGCGACAGGGGCGGCGCCGGAAGCGCCGCCGGGGGGGCCCAGCACGGAACCAAGAAATCCGCGCGGCCTCCAAAAGTTTGTGTTTATGCCGTTTTCCCTTCTTCGATCATTTCCCCCCCTCGCTCGCCGCCGAGCATGGGGAGGAGCAACAGTAGACAAGCGCGCTCCACGACTCGCAAAGCAACTGCTCGCAAAGGGCCTGTATCCGCCATGGGGGATTTTTACGATGCGTGACATCGATGCAGACAGGCGTTTTTTTGTTCGGACGCTTGCGAGTAGGCACTCTGCGAGTAGGGGAGCGCGCTCGGTGAAACGACAGCGGGAGGACGAGGCCGGCGAGGAGGACGAGGAGCGAGGAGGACGACAGCGGGAGGACGAGGAGCGAGGAGGACGACAGCGGGAGAACGAGGCCGGCGAGGAGCGGCAGGGGGATGAGGCCCAGGAGGCAGGCGAGGGGCCCATTCTCCACCACCACTGCGACAGGCAGGCAGGAGGAAGAGGAGGAGGAGGAGGAGGAGGAGGAGGAGGAGGAGGAGGAGGAAGAGGAGGAGGAGGAGGAGAGGAGGAGGAGGAGGAGGAGGAGGAGGGGGAGCGACCGTACCGAACGAGTTCGAAGCACGGCGCGGCAGCGAGCCAGCGGCCAATGGCTGCCTTCGCAGCTACCAGGATGGTGTAGTGAAATGTGGGTGTGCAAGGGGGCGCTCCCTCGCACATCATACTCTGCCTTAAGTTTATGATATATGTGAAGCGCCAAGACATTGATCCGATGCAGACGCTCACGAGGGTACTCTCGCCCTGGATCAGGTGCCATGCCCAATCCGAGGCGAGCAATGGGGGAGGCGGGCAAATGGCCACGTGCGAGCGCCAGAAGGTGCAGGCGAGGACAGGAAATACAGTCGGGGCGTTGACCTAAGGAACCCTAAATAAGGAACGAGGCCACTCTTTCTCCAGAAGTTAAACTTCCATTTCCCATGGAGATCCTCAGGACAACCTGAGGCAAACTGTTAGACAGTCAAGGAACACCAAGCCCCTCCCCAACGAAAAAGGTTCCTTCTTCAGGACCCCGACTGTATAGCGGCTGAAAAGGTCACGTGCAGGAGGCTCGCCTTCGAACAGACACGGCCTCTCGGCCACAGCTGGGAGACGCGCCGAAGTGGCCCAGGCGCCGGCCAACGCCTTGAGGCGGGCCCGTGCCCAAGATATCGCGGAGTTCTCGCTGGAATCCTCTGGAGCGCTGCCCATCGCTACCTGATCTCCTCGTCAATTAACGGGCGAAGAACGGTATAAAATAAACTTTTTCCCCGACGGCGAACAAGTGTATTGTACACCGTTCTTCGCCCGTTAAGTCAAGGAGTTGAGGCAGGTGGGGGAGCCAAAAACAAGTGCGACGACGAAGGGGGGAGGGCGTGAGATCAAGGAGCAAGGACAGCCGGAGCGTCCGAGCGAGCACTCGCTGGGGCCGGGGGCAGCGGCCGCCCGCCTCGGCAGCGCGGGGCTCCGTCTGGGCCGCGGCCACGCTCTGTCGCCAGGCGCGCTGGGGGATAACCCACGGGAGGGGTGGAGGAAAGCGAAGAGAAGTATTCGGCTATGCCGGCGGGATTTCTACAGCACGCAGGCGGAAGAACACCTCGGATGAAAGAAGCATTATGCCCATGCACCCATGCATGTTCATGCAGCTGAGTTGAAGCGGCCCTCCACCCCTCCACCGTCCCCGCCATGCTGTCGCGGCGGCGGTCGTGCGTAACGGGGAGGGGGTAGCCGAAGGGAGTCAGCTTCCGAGGCTTCACAATTCCGCTAACGCGACAGAGTTCGGGGGGGTCGCAGGAGGCCGTGGAGGACGTGACGCTCACCAGAAAGCGCACCAGCGGGGAGGGGGAAGAGTTGAGAAAGATAATGGCACACTGTTATAGATCCTACAGCTGGCCTCCGCGGGAGCTCAGGTGAAGGAAGTTTCCTTGGTCCTGCTCTTCCATTTTCGCACAGCCCCAACCCATTGGTCATCCAGACCAGCCTCTGGGCCGATCAGAATCCCCAAGTAAGGGACGCCTCGGGCAATTTTAATATCGCCCACGCCCCGACCAACGTCTGCACAAACAGTCGAATTTGCTGGGCGCAGGTTTCCGTTAGGCGTTGCCCCAAAGGAACTAAAACACACTTGGCCGGCTGAAGCTCCAGCGCGGCGACTTGTTCAGCCGCGGCGATGGGCGGAAGCAGGAGAGGGAGGGCGTGAACGGAGGGGAGCGGAACCCACATCGTCGGCACAAGCGCCGTTCAGAGGCGGCACGCTTGGGAGATGTCGGATCAGGGCCGTCTGCTCCTCAAGGTGCCTCAAGAACGGATCCATTGCGAAGGCCCAAATGGTACCCGAGAGGGGGCACCTCTGGGCAAGTCCAGAGGTGAGAGAGAACATGGGGGCACGGAGAGGGCCAGCCTTGAGGTCAGCGAGGGAGGAGGGGTAGACGGCACCCGCGAAGGCTCAGTAGCCCTCCGGGATCTGGTGCTTCAGGAGCACGCGGCGGAGAGACTGCCGTGACAGCGAGGGAAACGCCGCCTGGAAATCAAAAGGCACAACGGCTGGCATCATCTCACTGTGGTGGCTCGCGGCCCTGCAGTAAGCATCATGGGCCACGATGTGCTTCAGGAAGTTCCGTCCACGTATGAACCCCTGCGGGACGGGGTGCGCCCTCTCGCCGATGACCGCTGCCAGCTCGTGGTTGGCAGCGGCGGCCATGGCCTTGACGTCGGTGTTTTTCAGGCTCAATGGGCGTAGCCTAGCTGCCCAGCCCCTCAGAGGACGTCAACCGCGTCGGCGAGCTCGTCGCCCTTCGGCACGAAGGCGAGATCCGAAAAGTTGAGCCCCCACGGCGGCTCGCGTCCGGCGAAGAGGCCCACCATGAGCGAGTAGAGCACTTGTAAGAGCCGCTCGTCCAGCGGCCACGCCGACGCCGGAAGACGGTCAGGGCCAGGCGCCGATGACTTAGCTCGCCGGACGGCCCCCTCCAGCGCCTTCATCGATGGGGTGGGCAAGCGAGGGGCTGCATAGTCGGGGACGTGCTCGCCAAGGTGCTGGTCGATCACGGTCTCATCGACCGCTCTGCCGCGGAAGACGGGGCCCCAGGGGCGGCAAAGCTCTGCTCGCATGGAGGCGCCGCCGCGTAACATCTCACCCTGATTGCCAGGGAAGTCCGCGCGAATGCCGGCAAGGCGCAGGCGTCGGCGGGATGGCGCCCATAGCCGTGCGCGCCGGCTGGCAACGCGCTGAAGTTTCCGCACTTGCGGTGCCGAAGGGCCGGGGCCGGCGGCCCAGCTCTGCGCGCTGGGCCCCGAGGCTCTGTAGTCGCTCGTGCCACTGAGCGTGGAGGAGCACCGACTCGTTCAAGAAAGCCTCGGGGTCGCGCACCACCACGCCAGTCTCACCGACGAGCACATGGGAGGCCCCGAACTCCGTAGTGTCAATGGTCGTCTGGGCCAAGGCCGCGTCCCGCTGCCAGATGGCCCTTGAGGAGGAGGAGGGGGAGGAGAAGGAGGACCAGTGTAAAACCAAGAATCATCAACGATGTTGGAATTGACCCTCCCTCCAAGCTCCCTCTTCACAGGCCGCCACAAAGGTTCATTTCCATTGAGAGAGCTGCCTCGTTGGAAGACAACTGGTTGAAGATCCTGAAGCATGCCAAAACAATGTTCTCGGGATTTCAACGCCATGTATCAACTTGACTGCTGCGTCTTGACGATCCGGAATCGTGCCAGGGCGCCATGTTTGGGACTTCGACACCGCGAACCCACAGAACTGTTGCACCCGCATAATCCTGAACCCTTCCAGTACACCATTTCTGCTACGTTGATCATTGGAACACGTTGAACTCGTGCAACTTCTGACGACGAATGTGCGCGGCGCTAAGGCGAGAGCCACAATTTGAAAAGGAACCGCCCTCGATCCGTGAAGCTCTTGCACATGTTGAAAAATAAGGTGCGCAACGCTCAGGCGAGAACCACATTTTGAAACCCACCCGCCCTCAATCCGTCAAGCTCTTACAAATTTTGAAAACGAGTGCGCGCGGCGCTAAGGCGAGAGCCACTTTTTGAAAAGGAACCGCCCTCAATCCGTGAAGCTCTTGCACACTTTGAGAACGAATGTGCGCGGCGCTGAGGCGAGAACCACATGTTGAAAACGACCCGCCCTCAATCCGTGAAACTCTTGCAAATGTTGAAAACGAATGTGCGCGGCGCGAAGGCCAAAACCACATTTTGAAAACCACCCGCCCTCAAGCCGTGAAGCTCTTGCAAATGTTGAAAGCGAATGTGCGCGTCGCTAAGGCGAGAACCGCATTTTGAAAAGGAGCCGCCCTCAGTCCGTGAAACTCTTGCAAATGTTGAACACGAATTTGCACGGCGCTAAGGCGAGAACCATATTTTGAAAACCACCCGCCCTCAATCCGTCAAACTCTTGCAAATTTTGAAAACGAATGTACGCGGCGCGAAGGCCAGAGCCACATTTTGAAAACGACCCGCCCTCCATCTGTGAAACTGTTGCCACTTTCTAAGCTTCAGAATCGTACATGGTGAAGTCTCAAGCGAAACGTCCGGCCCGCCCTAAAAACTGGCCTCGGCGTGCGACAGGGAGGAGTTATCTATAAGGAGAAGGAATGGCGGAGGAGGAGGAGGAGAAGGAGGAGGAGGAGGAGGAGGAGGAGGAGGAGGAGGAGGAGGAGGAGGGGGGGGGGAGGGAGACAAGGAGGAGGAGGAGGAGGAGGAGGAGGAGGAGGAGGAGGAGGAGGCCCTCCTCATCCTCCCTTCTCCCCCATCCTGCATATGGTAGTGGTGGTGTAAAATCTGCCCATCAGGCAGGGGGTCATGGACGAACGGCAGTGGCGCCCACTTCGCGAGCTTCGGCGGCACTGGGAGACAGCAGCCAGTCCTCCGTGCGAAAATCCAGCCCGACCCGAGCTGCGAAAGCGCGGTCCACACAGCCGCCATCGGAAAGACGCCCCGCGGAATTGCCAACGTAGAAACTGCGGGTCGCGTCGGGCGGGGCTCCACAATTGCACTCAGGAGCTGCAACCATGAGCTCCCACATTCCAGTGTTCGGCTTCCGGAACTCGTCGTCGCTGTCGCCCCTGGCCACGGCCACGAACATCTGCATCGGCACCCCGCAGAACGCGGCGAACTCGTCGAATCGTCCGAGCAGCTCGCTGACGCAGGCCGCCATGGCGTCTGGGGTGCGCTGGCGGCTGGGGCCGTGCTGGTTCGAGAACACGACCACCCGGAAGCCAGCCCCGTGCAGCGCCCGCAGCCGGTCGGGCACAAACGAGGACGTGACCTGCCAGGCGGGGCCTCCGAAGTGGAGCGTCTTGTCAAAGTCGAAGGCCGCGATGCGCGGCGAGGCTGGCACGCCCGCAGGGCAGCTATGGTTAGGTCGGGCATGTCCCCTACAGGCTGATTTGGGGCGAAGATTAAAGTATAGTCAAGACATGCTCAAAAATGGTCAGAAGATATAAAAGGCATCGTCCACAGACTCTTTGTGGACTGTTTGTGGATTTTCCTCCCGTAGAGGGGCGTGCCCGACTTGAAGCTGTGGTAGGGCGACGAGAGCTTGACTCACAAGCACCGCCCCTGGCCGAGCCCCTCCCGGGCCCAGGGCCCGGTCTGTACGCCCTCCTCGCTCGGCCAGGGAGGCTGGTGGACTTAGGTCGGGCCTGTCCCCCTACAGGCGGATTTCGGAGGAAGAACAACAAATACCCCACACATGCCCCCCAAATGCCCCAAGATGGTAAAACAAATCGTCCCCAGACTATTTTAAACAAAAAAAGCTGTTTTTGAATATTTCCCCTGTAGAGGGACAGGCCCGACTTAACGGTAGACAGAGCCCCCGGGTCAGGCACCTGGGCCTGGCCAGGGGCGGCGTGCATGGCCGACTCCGAAGAATAGGGGGGCGAAGTAGGGGCACGAACGCTGTCCTCCCCGTGCTCCTCCTCCTGCTCCTGCGGGACGGGAAAATAACCACAGCCACTGCTTCTTGTTTGCGCCGCCTTCCAGCCGGCCGAAAAAGAAGCAGTGGTTGTGGTAATTTCCCTGGTGCCAAGCTTGACGAAAATGACCACAACCACTGCTTTGTTTCTGCTGGCTGGAAGGCGGCAACAAAAGAAAAGCAGTGGCTGTGGTCGTTTTCACGTCCCGTATGCTCCCTCTCCCTGCCCGGCGGCGGGCGAGGGGGGGAGAGGAAAAGGGGTGGGGGAACAAACGATGCCACAAGCATACACACGCGGAGGTCCGCGCGGACTCCTCGGATCGGCGCTCGACCCCCCCCCTGGCGCGCGGAGCGCGTCAATAGCGGCGCTGGAGGCGCCGCCAGGGGGCCCCAGCGCCGATCCGAGAACCCGCCGCGGACCTCCGAGTTCGCATGCCTGTGTCATGGTTCGTTCCCCATACAAAATGAGGGGGCCCCAGGGCACACAAATAAATACACACAAATAAAACAAATCCCCATATTTTCCCATATTTTCAGGGTTTTTGTCTTCCCCCCCTTCCCATGTTTTCCCATATTTTCGGGGAATGGAGGATTCATTGTGTCTGTGTGTTTCTTTTCCTCCTGACGACAGCCCTGTGGCCCCAGCAACGCTGACGTCTCACTGTCACTTCCGCCGCCGCCCGCCGAGCTCCTGCCGACGCAGCCGCCGCCGTCTCTCTCACCTCCGCCCGCCTCCGCCGAGGGCGCCGCGCGCGCCGAAGGGCGAGGCCCTTTCCCGGGGAGCGCCCTGCCAAAGTGTTCGGTCCGCTCTGCAGCGTGGCATGGTCGTCGCGACGCACCTGCACGGCGCCTTGCAGGTGGGTGGCAGGTCCGCCCTCTTGCAAATCGGAGCACGTCGCGGACCCAGCTGGGAGCGGCCAGGGCGACTCGCGACCCGCTTGCAGGTGCCCTGCAAGCGCGCTGCGTCCACCTGGCACCTGCTGCAAGTCACAGCGCTCAGTGCAGTGTGTCTGGTTTCAAGGGGCCCAAGGACACACAAATACATACACACACATAAAAGGATTCCCCATACTTTCCTATGTTTTCTGTTTTTTTTTGCCTTCCCGCCCAATTCCCATCTTTTCCCATCTCTTCTGGGAGATCGACGATGACTTGTGTCTGTGTGCTTTTTCCTCTCCTGATGGTTCTCGCCGCCCCATCTAGAGACACCACCCTCTGCGGCGCCACGGCGCCGGCAGCGGCGTCGCCTCCAGCAGCTCCAGCGCCTCGCGCCCGCGGCGCAGGGCCCGCCGCGCGGCGCCGCCAGCGGAGCCCATGGCGGGCCGCCGCTCGCCGAGCGCCGCCCCCCCCCTTTCGGCGCCAGAGCCCCTGCCCTGCCCTCTGGCCATGACGGTTGCGGAGGGGGGAGGGGAGGAAGGAGGACGACGAGAAGGATGACAGGAGGAGGAGGAGGAGGAGGAGGAGGAGGAGGAGGAGGAGGAGGACGAGGAGGAAGGGGAGGAGGAGGGGGAGGAGGAGGACCAGCGGAAAACCCAGACTCATCAACGATGTTGGAATAACCCCTCCCTCCAAGCTCTCCCTTCATAGGCCCCTACAGGGTTTCATTTCCACTCAGGGAACTGCCTCGTTGGGAGAGAACCGTTCCAAGATACTGAAGCGTGACAAAACACCATTCCCGGGACTCCCCGAATCAACATCACTATTGCGTGTGGACGATCCTAAATTCTGCCAGAACCCCATTCCTGGGACGTCAACACCGCGAACCAACGTAACCGTTGCGCCCTCACAGTCATGGCATGTTAACCACGGGAATCCGTTCAACTCTTGCAGATGTTTGAACTGAATGTGCGCGGCGCTAAGGCGAGAACAACATTCCCCAATCAGCGCTTGCACTTAAGGGATCCTAGCGGATCTTGAAAAATTTGGCGAAAACGGGCGGCCGATTTCGGTAGGCCGCCGGGTTCTCTGGTTCCTGGTTCCAAGTTCCTGGGGTCCGGGCTGCTGGTTCCGGGCCGATTTCGCTGGGCGGCGTGGTTCACGGGCTTCTGGGCTTCTGGGTTCCCGGGTTTCTGGTCGATCTCCATATCGATCGATCTCACGATCGATCTCACAATCGATCTCACCATCGTCTCACAATCGATCTCAATATAGATCGCACGAGCGATCTTATGATCGATCTCGCTGGATTGACTTCACGATCGGTCTCACGATCGACCTTACTATCGTCCTCCTTATCGAGCCCATCTCAATATCTGTATCACTAATTTTCAAACCATCCACCGATTGGGTTTTCTCTGGTGCAATTTTGAAGACGCGCCGCCCTCAACCCGTGAAGCTCTGGCAGACTCTTTAAATCTAATCTCCGCGGCGCCACAGCCGAAACGACATCTTGAGAACACGACAGGGCCTCGGTCCGTCAGGCTCCTGCAACGCTTCACACAGCGACTGTGCGCGGCGCGGAGGCGAGAACCACAAATTCGAAAACGACCCGCCCTCCACCCGTGAAGCTCCTACAAGAGGAGGAGGAGGAGGAGGAGGAGGAGGAGGAGGAGGAGGAGGAGGAGGAGGGGGACGAGGAGGAGGGGGAGGAGGAGGGGGACGAGGAGGAGGGAGAGGAGGAGGAGGAGGAGGAGGAGGAGGGAGGAGGAGGAGAGGAGGAGGAGGAGGGCGAGTGTGCGCGGCGCTGCGGCGCAAGCCACACCCTGGAAAACCATCCGCCCTCCGTCGGCGAACCTGTTGCCAGCTCTTCTGCGCTTCGGGGTCCTTCGTGGCGAGGAGACGTCTCGGGCGAAACGCCCGGCCCACCTTTTCAACCGGCCATTGGGTGCGACGGGGAGGAGTTATTTTTTGAGACAGAAGAGCAAGAGAGCCGTAATCGGACGAATGTGGATTCTATGAAGCTGCCTGGCTGGAGCTCGACGTTACAAGGGGGCGCCGCGGGGCTCAGAAAACGAGCCACCCCAGCGTGTCTCCAGCAGGGAAATGCGACTGTTCATATATATATATATATTTCTTAAACATGTCTAAACACATAAATGAGAGTGCAAACGAGAGAGAAAGAGAGAGAGAGAGAGAGGGAGATATACATAAAGAAAGAGAGATATACATCTATATCTGAATATCTATATATATACATATACACAAGTCGAGAGAGAGAGAGAGAGAGAGAGAGAGAAAAATAGAGAGATCAAGTGTGACTGAAAGAGAAGTGGGAACCGAGAAAGCACATAAGGAGAAGGAGGATGAGGAGGCAAAAGAAAGCCATGATCGGACGAATGCGAGTGCTACGACGTTTTTCTGGCTGCAGCTCAACGTTGAAAGGGGACGCCGCGGGGTACAGGAACAGAAAAAACCCAGCCTGTCTCCATCAGGGAAGTGCGAAGAGAGGGTACATTAGATATTATATATACATCGAGAGAGAGAGAGAGAGAGAGAGAGAGTGAGAAAGAGAGAGTGAAAGAGAGAGGGAAGAGAGAGAGAGAGAGAGAGAGAGAGAAAGAGAGAAAGAGAGAAAGAGAACTAACCAACATAGCGATGGAGAGAGAGAGAGAGAGAGAGAGAGCGAGAGAACGAGAGAACGAGAGAGAGAGAGAGGGAAAGGGGGAGAGCGAGACAGGTACTTAGACGCACGCACACACAGAAGTGTATAGGTGTATATATATATATATATAAACCAGAAGGAGAACGACAGAGAGAGAGAGAAAAACAAAGAACTGGAGCATAGAGAGAGGGAGAGAGAGCGAGAACGAGAGACTGATTGATCTAGACGTAAAATAGATGTGTACGTATATGCACCGATGGAGGGAGGGAGAGAGAGAGAGAGAGAGAGAGAGATAGAGAGAGAAACCATAGAGAGAAAGAGAGAGAGAGAGATAGAGGGATAAAGAG